TCTTGGGAGGTGGAGACAAGGGGATCTGAAATTCAAGGACGTCTGAAGATGTACAGGATGTCTAGAACAAGGTTGGGATATATAAGACCTTGTCGTTAAAAAAGTATATAAGCACTTAATTAGAATTCACTTTATTTCAAATATGGTAAATACCAGTATGTAGTTCATATGTCTGAAAGTTCCTTGGGAATCTTAGTAATTTTGTCAAGTATAAAGCAGTCTTAGTGGGTGAAGACAATTTTCAGTGCTTATCAACTGAAGTTCCAACTTTCACGTTGCTTTTAAGGCCATCTGTAAAGTGGTCCTAATACACTCTCTCCAAACTTGTCTTTTTTAAAGATTTACTTATTTTTATTTTATGCATGTGGATATTTTGTCTGCATGTGCTTATATATGTGTACCATGAGTGTATCTGGTACCTGAGGAGGAGTCAGATTTCCTGGAACTGGACAGTTGTGGGCCACCATGAATCCAATCCAGGTCTTCTGCAGCCAGTGCTCTTAACTGCTGAGCCATCTCTCTAGTCAGCAAATTGTGTCTTATATTGGTCTAAATATACCCTTTATAATATTCATCTGAGTACTCATTAAGTAATGCATTTGTTCATTCATGTATTATTTTAGCTGAGAAAAATTTGTACTTAGAAGGCCTTGCTTCCTTGCTGTCCTCCATCCCCTCTGGCTCTTGCACTCTTTCTCCCTCCTCTTCCATAGAGTTCACCGAGCCCTGAGGTGAGGGATTTGATGGAGACATCCCATTTCTGACTGAGTGTTCCAAGGTCTCTTGGTACATTGTTCCATTGTAGGTCTCTGGTTTTGTTCTCCTCTGTAGAAGGAGGAAGTTCTCTGAGGATGCTGAGCAAGGTCTGATCTGTGAGGTTAGCAGAAAGTCATTTTATTATGTTCTTTTAGCACAACAGTAGTATTTGGATTTCCTCTAGGTCCCTGGCCTGTCTAGTCTTAGGTTTTTAGTCATCCAAGCAGTGTTGGGGATGGGTCCATCTCATGGAGTGTGCCTTAAGCCCTGTCAGATGTTGGTTTGTTACTCCCACAAGCTTTGTACCACTATTGTGCCAGCATATCTGAGAGGCAAGTGACCATTGTCAGTAGAAGGGTTTGTAGCTGGGTTAGTGTTTAACTTTCTCCTCGAATAGTGTGCAGAGTACTTTGTTTTGGCTTTTTGAGAAGGTGTCAGACTTGTGATTCTCCTGTCTCAGACTTCTGAATGCTAGGATCACGTTTACCACAATGTCTGGCTGATACTGCTTTTCTCACAAACAGTCTAACCTTGTCATTTCCCCCCCAATCGCCTTGCAATCTTTCTTTCTTCAGTTCTTTTTATATCCCCCTTCCTGTCTTGACCTTCTATTATACCCTAGCTTATAAAATTAATTTCATTCTGTGGTATTTTTATCCTGACCTACCTTTGACCTCTGGCACACAGGAGGGGAAGTCAGGATGCTTCTTGTCAAGTTCACTGAAGAACTGAGGGTAGGGATAGCTGTCTGCTGCATCCTAATTGGCAATTGTAAATAGAAGGATAGAAAAACCAAAACTAGGCACAGGTAGACCAGAGGAGTGATGAATTTGCTATTTTCGCCATCTTATTTATGCTGAAAAGCTCTCCTATCCAATGGTTAGGATTTCTCATGAAAAAGAATTATATTTCTGTTGGTTTGCTTCTTTAGGGTCTCATTGAAATTTCTGAACCTACCTGAGGTATGTCTTCTTGGTTCTCTCAAAGTCACTTCAGATTCATTATGACCGAAACTGAATTTTAAACTCATTGATTGACTCTTTTCTCCTAAGATCAGGAAGATTTAGTCTCAAACCAACAATTACAAAACTGATCATCTTGTTAGAAGCCACCAAAAAACCAAACCAAAACCAAACCAAACCAAACCAAACCAACCCCCCCCCCCCCATTAGTTACTGAAAGACTACAAATTCAAGTAACAACTCAATCATCCACCCAAGTTATAATATTAACTGGGAAACTTACAATGTTTCATGGAAATTTGTAAAAAAAAACTCCAGCTAATAAATTTGGAAGACCTATGAATATTTTCAGACCCATCAGTTTTCAAATGCTAAAAAAAGGTAGGGATTTTGGGGAAAACCATCCACAGATGAGTGTTGAATGCGAGGTTTTCTGTGATACACATCCCAGTCCTACTCTGATATGCATATGGCCTCTTTACCTAAACATGAATCTTAAATAGTATCATGTCCCAGAGCTTGCATTTGTTCATAAGTCAGGTATGTTATTGGCATGTGTTCCTTTCGGTGTGTAGCAACAGGCACACAGTCTTGATTTGTCCTTCTGATGCTATTAACTGGGATGGCGTCGGTTAGGAAGTGGCACTTGCTATCACTTCCTCTTTGGCATCAGTGGTATTTCATTAGGAGACATACTAAGGCTGTGTGAGTGTCTGTAACTCAAGTTCTGGATGTGCTTTAGCAGCCAGTGACACTCCTCATCCAAATCACTTACAGCTTGATCATCTCTAATACCACAACACAAAATGTTCTAAAATTCAAAACACTTGGGACTCGGTGTAAATTAGCTTTCTCATCACCATGACAAACTCTTGAGAAACTCTAAATAGAGTTTCTGGCTTATAGTTCCAGGAGTTTCAGATCAGGTCAGCTCGCTGTTTCAGGCAGCGAAGGTGGTGGGAAGGTTTGTGGGGGCAGAACTGTTCACTTGTGCTCACCACAAAACAGCTGAGGGAGGGGTGGGGCAAGATATAGCCCCTCAGACAGGCCTCCAGGACCCGCCTCTTCTACGTTGGCCCTGCCAGCTTCCGAGTGGATCCTATATCTTAGTGTCATATAGTTTCTCTTGTGCTTAAAAGTTTTCTGGAAGAAGAAGATGCTTGCAGTTTTCCAGTTCTAGCCCTAGAACCAGTGCTTGTTCCTTTATTCTACTGTGTTCGGGTTCTCATGGCCCAGTCACTTGTCAGTGTTTGAGTCTACAAGCTGTGACCAAGCCCCCTTTGCTGGCCGTATCAAACACTCGTCACACCTCATGTCGTGGAGGCTCACATTAAAAAGGCCACACTGGGAATATTGTATAAAATTATCTCCCAGCTACCGTTGCAAATGAAGTAAGTGGATTTCATATTTAGAACTGGGTTCCATTCCCAGGCACCTCATGTATAAGTAGAGATCCCCAAATTTAAAAAAGATGCTTAAATTTAAAAACAATTTGCTTTCACATAAGTGAAATAAATATTTTATTTTTAACTGTTTATTTTTTATTTTTTTAACTCTAGTTTTAGAGCCAGCTCTTGTTCCTTTTAGGAGACGGTGATGTTCAGGACCCCAAATCTGTAGGTGGGCTCGTTGATTCTGGGTCCTCTTAGTCAGAAGGGAAGGTGGGGGTGTTCTGTGTCTGCGCTTGCAACTTTATGTCTGCATCTTTACCTGTTCCCTCTTCTTTCTATATAGCCATGGCCTCATGCTGACATGTCCAGTTCTGATCTGGTGTCCCATGCCTCGTGCTGTCCTTCCCTTTCTCATGCCCGTAGCTACCTTCTCTGAGACGAAGACACACATGCTCCAGTGCTCAAAGTGTATTTACTTAGATTTTCAGTTTTAGACTACACAGAAAATAGTTTCAGGTTTGCTAAGTTAATCCTCGGGGGTAGGGGTGGGGGGAAGACTCTACTGTTTAGACTTGGCAATTTGCTCGGAGCTAACACACATACTTTTGCCCTGAGGAAATATATTTCAAAGACTATGGTTCAAAAGTTGCTTGGGTTGCCTTCTCCCAGAGTGACCATCACACAGTTGAAATGCAGTGCAACCAGCACCCCATGTTAGGATTGCCATCCCGCCTTCATGTATGTATTCATTTTAATATAACATAGAAGTCAGAATTGCACAGCGGGATACAGTTAGGCACCATGCGCCTCCCTCCTCTTAGTTCCGCTCACCTGCCTGTCATGTCCAGCCTGCCCGTCCCTTACATAAGTTCCAGGGTCATCTTTTCCACATTTCTGCTTCAAGCCAAAGCCAGGCTAGATCCTGTTTTCTCTTATTTCTTATAAAGTCAGTATACTGCAGATGCTCTTTTTAAAATGTTGTTGAGACAGAGTTCACATACCGGAGCACTCACCTTTATGAAAACACTACCCCTTGTTTTAGAATGCTGCCCCACTCTGACAGGACCCCCTCGGCACCCTTTGGTAGTCATTCTCCATCCTCACTCCCAGCCCCCCAGTCTCTAGAAAATTGTCTTTCCTGACTATTTCCTGTAAGAGGACTCTTATAGAATATAGCTGTTCTGTACTTTGCTTAACTGCAAATAACTGCACCAGCTCCAAGTTATCTCCCCCTAAATATACTCTTTTCTAATCAATTAAACGATAAGCCAGTTTGAACTCTGTTTACCATATATTATGTAAAAATTTCCTGTTCTCAGTTTTTAATGCATGTGCTAAATAGCTCACATTTAAAGGCATTTTATAATTACGTTAGGAAATCCGATAAGATCTTATTAAAGCATGTAATTGCTCAATAAAAATCCTATCACTGAAAGAGTAATAACATTGCATAGATGACTGCAGTGCTAGCGGAATTCTCTGTTTAGGCACAACATGGCCCGGCGAGATGGCACAGCAGGACTTGCCTTTAAACCCAACGATCTGATTGGATCCCTGGAACCTACACAGTGGAAGGAGAGAACCAGCTTATGAAAGTGTCCTGTGATCCCCACGTGTGTGCTGTGGTACACATGCCTAAACCACACACACACACACACACACACACACACACACACACACACACACGTAAAATATTTAAACGTATGCAACATTTACAACTACGTATGCTAACAGCCGAGTGACATGCTTTGCAAACTCTGATCTTCTCAGCAACACCTTTTCTTTTTACCTTTCCGTTGTGTTTGTGAGACATGTGTGCGGTCCGTGTGGTGGGTATGTGGTTGATTGTGGCGTGTGGCGTGTGTTTGCAGTGTTTATGCTGTGGTGTGAGTCGTGTTTGGGGAGCATGTGACGCATGTGTGTGGTGTGCTGTGGTGTATGTGTGACGTGTATGGGATGTACGTGTGACGTGTGTGTATAGTGTGTGCTGTAGTTTATGGTGTCTGTGGTGTTTATGTGATATATGTGGTGTGTGCGGTGTATGTGGGATTGTACGTGTGGTGTATGTGTGTGGTGCGTGGGCTCTTGTATGTGGTATGTATGTGGTGTGTGGTGTAGGTGGTGTGTGTTTGGGGAGAATAAGGTATGCGTGTGTACAGTGTGTGGTGTGAGTGGTGTGTGTGCTGTAGTGCATGGTACACAAGGTATGGATTTAAACTCAGGTCCTCAGGTGTGCAAGCTTTCTTACCTACCGAGCCATGGCCACAGCCCCATTCTGACTTTTAGAACAACAATTCTTTCATTAGATCTCTCCACCCCCTTTTATTTTCCTTTCTTTATTTTTTTGAGACAATCTAATGGAACCCAAGCTGGCCTCGAACTTGCTTTGTGTTCAAGACTGGCCTTTTGACTCCCAATTCTCCTGCCTCTGTCTCCTAAGCTTTAAGGCTTTCTTATCATTTGGGTGTCAGTATTATAGACTTTTAGCATACATACACCACAGTGGTAGCATTTAAAAGCATGAGCACACATGTTAGAGACCTCAATTTTCTTGAGTATCAGCAAATAAAAAAATAACATTTCACTTAGATCTTTGAGGGAAAAATAATAGTCTGCTTTGTTTAAGAATCCCCCGGGGGGGGGGGGGGGGGAAGAATCCCCCAGGAATACTAGATTTCACAAACTTTTATAGAATAAATTTTCTTCCTATCATTAAGATGTTTCTAAAGTTGGGGTGGGCCTCCCCCCCACCTTACCCTGCTCTTCTTTGCCCCTGCAGGATAAGCCTGGGCATGACTAGTCAGCCTCCCCCTCTGCCCAACCCAGGTAGCCATGGCTGCTTTGGACTTCTCCCCAAATGCTTCTGTCCGTTCTCTCATATGTATGATGAAAATCTTCCCCCACCCACGTAGGGGTCAGTCCAGTGGTTTCACTCTGCCCCACCTCACATGCTCCTTACAAAGACCAGTTTTGTGCTTCTTGTGTAAACTACTAACCTTTTTAAAAACATCCTTCCTTTGGATTTTAAATTTTCTTTTCTCATTTTTTGCTTGTGATGATGTATCTTTGCAAAGATTTATTTTTGTATTTTTTTTTTTTGGGTGTGTGTGTGTGGGGGGGGGCATATACATGTGTGTGCAGGTGCCTGTGGAGGCCAGAGACACTGGATCCTCTGGAGTTGGAATTCCGGGCAGTTGCCAGCTGTGGGTTCCTTTGCAGCCAGTACAGGTCATCTTTAAGAGCGATGTGTATTGTCCAGCCCTGCCCGCCTCTTCAGCCCCGATGTCTTGTTTTTTAACCTGTGATGTATTTGCAGACAGCCACTCTGCTAGTTCTTCTTTGACTACCATTTTCCTCCTGTGCGTAAATCTTCATACTTTTTCTTTTAAGAGTTATTTATTGTTAGTATTCGTGGTGTGTGTGTGTGTGTGTGTGTGAGAGACGTTGCGGGGGTAGGAGAGGAGGCACACCATGGCACACACATGGAGGTCAGAGGACAACTTGTTGAGCCAGCCTTTGTCTTCCACCTTTGTCTGGGGACCGAACCCGTTTGTTAGGCTGACGTCATTGGATGGCAAATGCCTTCCCACAGAGAAATCTCACTGGCTCCAGGTTTCTTGTGTATATGTAATCAAATACATCTGTATTTTATTGTGCGGGGTTCGAGTCAGAAGAACACTCATATTGTCTGCAAGTGTGTATCTATAGTTGATCCTCATTGTTTATGGATTTAGTATTGTGTATTTGCCTCCTCATAATCACCAGATTAACATTCTTGGAACTTCCTTGTCATTTTCAGACGCGTACCCCACCCTTCAAGCGCCTCCAGTGGTGAGCTGGCCAGAGCCTCAGGAGCAGGCTTTTTTAGATGAAGACTTCATTATGTAGGCAGATTGATTACATCACTGGCCATGGGTAGCCACTTTAACTTTCAGGCCCTTGGCCCCAGATCTATACTTTATACTCTAACGCTTTTGTAATTTCTGCGTGATAGTGTGGAGACGAGCGTGGAGCATGTGTCACATAGCTACTCTGTTAGTGGGGACTTGTTATACTTGTCCTGGAACACTCCACCCTTATCTTGGGGTATGCTGCCCTTCTAATAACTCATCTCTGTGGGTGCTTTTGGGGGGGTTAGATTTCCAAGTGGGATCTATTTCCAAGAAGGAGGAGGTTAGACATCAATTGGGAATGACTGTTTACTGCAGTATCTGGGGGAAGGCTTACTGGGTAGGCTTGAGTTGAGTTAGTAAATGGGTAAATTGTGGTATTTCTGAGAAAGGAAAGGTCCCAGAGGAGTTTTTTTGGAAAGGAATTCCCTGCTGCTTGTTTTCCATCTCCTTTGGCAATAGCTGCCTGTTTCAGGACTGATGCCTTTAGCTTTATGGGCTTCAGTCATCATTGCTGGAGGGAAGTGATGTCAAGAAAGGAGTGAGTGTGAAGGAAAATAAGCATAAGGGCCCTGCTTCCCTGCAGCTTTAGACTTGCCTACCAAGCCTTCTGCCAGAGACACATAAAAGGCCTTCCTCTTGACTTAAGGGGCAAATGTGTCATTCTTACATAAGACATAAAACATGTATCAGATTGCATACTTGTGCCACAGGAGCTTGGTTTTTCTTGTTAGTATTGTCTAAAGTTACAACATGTAAAAACTCTTTATCCTACTTTCTAAGCCTGCCAATACAGAATATTTATAAATATAAATATATATATGAGCATTTCCTTTTGGAGCCTGGGGCGTTTTTCCTCTCTAGCTCTTATTTAAAGAGAATATGTAATTTAGACATTTAAATAAGAATAGGGGAAGTGGCCAAAAACTTTTCAATAGGCTGGTCAGCATACACGAATGTTTCCATCAGTGAGAGCCCATACAGAGCAGAGTAACACTTGGCTTCCCCCACTGATCTCTGGGAGGGTTTGTTCCTCTCACCATGAGTTATATATCTCCTGGGTATCCTTTCTGCTTCAGAAAGGTCCAAGTCATAGGAGTATTAGGCTCCTCCAATCTTTCTTTTAATTTAGTTTTTTTTTTTTTTTCTCCACTTGGGAGCACTAAAGCTGATGTCACTCTCCTTGTCCTCCAAAGGCTTCAGTTCTCTTGTCAAGCAAGCTCTGTGCCTGGCAGTCCTGTTTTTGTGCTTTGGACGTTGGGCTTTCCTAGCAGTGAGTGCTCTGAGTAGTCACTCTAGACAGTGAGCTGTGCATGCTCAGGTGCTTTCACGTTCTGCAGCTCAGCAGCAGCCATCTTGGGACCAAGCTCCTCCCCCTTCTAGACATCCTCACCTCTCAGTCTGTCTCACTGTCGCGCAGTGGCCATTTCATTAATAGTGCCAACCCCCTAAGGTGAGAGTCCCAAGCTTCCTTAGAGGTTGTTGACCACTCCACTGAGTTCAAACTTGGAGGAAGGAGGCTGGTGTTCTTCCTCAGCTCTAGGTGTTTGCTGCTGTCTCACCTGTGGACCCTAGTTACTGATGCTGAAGCAGTAGGACAGCTGCAGCTTCTTGGACTGTGATCAAGCGTAGGGAACATTATTGCAGGTAGAGGAAGGCATACTTAGATTTTTGCTTCATAAGGTTTAAGGTTTCTATTAAGTAAAAGGTCTCTATGTCCTTGTAGTTTCTATCAGAAGAAAGTAACTACTGGTAAGAAACAAAATCAATATATGTTTAAGTGCAAATATTTATCTTTGGTAGCTCCCAGCTTAGTTAGAGATGTTAAAGGGCACGATGGGAGTATCTGCTGGGAGCAATCAGACATTCATTCCTGCTGCCGATTTCAGGTTCCTGCACCTTACGGATAGAAGGGGATAGACCACTAGGGGGCGCTTCTCAACTAGACCATGCGGTGCCTTCCGTCCCCTTCACTAGAGTCATTGTGGCCTGCTCAGTAGCAAAGCAGTTGGCAGTGACAGTAGCTGGTGGCAGTTCCTGAAACCTAAGAAAGGTTTCAAATAAGAGAGAAAGGAAGAAATGAAGGCAAAGGAGAGAAAAGTACGAAGGCAAAAGAAGAGAAAATCGGAAACAGTTGTGAAGGAAGTAATTAAATGTAGTGACGGCCTCAGGAGTTTGGTATCAGCATCATTTGTTGCTTGCAGCTGGTTTGGCTCTTGTTCGTTCATTCACTGACACTTAGGCAACAAGAGCCAGGATTTCTGATTAAGATACCGTGGTGGGCAGGATTCTGTTCCCAGCCTCTCAGACTCTACAGGTTAAAAGCTGAACTTTCCTCAGAGATTATGTTAAATGTCATAGAAAATAAAACTCCTTTGTTTTGGTTTGCTTCATATTCCCCATTCTGTTCCCTTACCAGAAAAGACCTATGGCATTAAAAAGCAATCCTGTTGACGTGCATGGCTGCAGGAGGGCAGGTCTTGTTCAGGACTCTGGGGCCTGTAGTCAGACACCCAGCTCAGACTAAGTGGGTAGTGCCCGTATGTGCATCTGCAAAGCTTTCTGTTTTTCTCCGTCATAGTGAAGTGCTTTATAGTAATGTCCACTAGTAACTTGAATTATTTATAGAACCATGTTTGTATGGCTGAGTGCTCAATACATGTTAGTTGAGTGAATAAGCGAATCCGCCTAGTTGAAATATACCTGGTACAAGATGGCTTCACATAGGATCCTATCTGAAAGGCGTAATTTTGAGATATGTCAGAAAAACCTGCTTTTAACACATTTGACATATCTGATCATGCATAGGCAATAATTGCCTTGAAGTATAAGATGCAGCTCATTTTTAGAGATACCTGGAAGACAGGGTACAGTGCCCAACCTGTAAATATATCTTGTTTACATTTTAATATCGATTCTGTTGCTTCATCATGAATACACAATTTAGGCATGGTTGTTTTATTTCTGAAATAATAGGGGGCTGGTGACATGGACTGGGCCTATATAGCCTTCTTTACAAAGACAGGCAGCAGACTCGGTCA